TCTCTCTCTCTCTCTCTCTCTCTCTCTCTCTCTCTCTCTCTCTCTCTCTCTCCCTCTCTCTCTTTCCCTCTCCCCCTCTCTCTTTCTTGTTATAACAAGACTGTTCTCATGAACATTTGGAGAGAAACAAAAAAAAAAAAATTAACTGACGGTGATGGAAACTCTAATACTAGAAAAATGTCAAGAAAGCAAACAGCGGTTTCAATAAGCCCTGCCCGACAGCTCATGGAAACAAGCTTGAAACCATCAAAACACAAAAACCCCCTTGCTTGGGGAGTGCTTAGGAGGTACGAGCATGCACTTATGAAACTTCTCCAACTCAAAACACCTTTTGCTGGACAATGTTTTTTTTTTGTATGAGTTGGCCCAGGCCCCAGGCCCTGTACTGGTCATGCAACTATCTGTCCTATCCCAGACAGCCCTTCGCACAACCCAAAACTCACCTGCCTGTTCCATCTTGGGCTGGAATGTCTGCACTAGGTAGTCCAGGTGAAATTCTGCAAAGACAGCAGGATTGTGGCTTAGGGAGTGAGCAGGTAGGGAAGGGACAGGCAGGGCAAGCACCTATGCCAGGCCAGCTTTTTTTTTTTTTTTTTTGGTTTTTCGAGACAGAGTTTCTCTGTCCTGGAACTCACTCTGTAGACCAGGCTGGCCTTGAACCCAGAAATCTGCCTGCCTCTGCCTCCCAAATGCTGGGATTAAAGGCATGCGCCACCGCTGCCTGTCTAGGCCAGGCCAGCTTAATGCAACCATCTTTCCCAGGACCCTGAGAGACATGCACTTACTCTGCTGGATCTGCCTCCTACAGGCTTTCCAGTAACACAGGAGGAAGGAGCAGGAGCCAACCAGCAGCACCACCATGGCCACCCAGAAGAGCACTGGACCTGAAACACAGTGTCATCTTGTATTCTGTGCACAGCTAGGAGCCAGGGCCCTTCCCTGGACCACACAGGACCCTCTTCCTACTTCTCCTGGGACATGAATCCTACTGAGGTGAGCAGCTCCTGGATCTTCCCAAAGCTGGAACTGTCTGATTCAGCCCTTACCTTACCTCCCTCACCTGGTTCCAGGAAGCTAATTGGCAACTCAGAAAGTAAGCAAAGCAAACCAGAGAGGACGAGAAATTGAGACATGAAGAATCGGAATGGATTGTGTATAGTGTTGCATGCCTGTAATCCCAGCACTAGAGAGGCAGAGGTAGACCAGTTAGCCTGATCTACAATGGCTAGTTCCAGGCCAGCCAGGTATACATAATGAGACCTCAGAAAAACAAACACAAAAGCAAAAACAACAAAACAACAAAGCTCTAGAAGTTTGAGTCTGTGGCTAGTTGGGATGGGGAAGATGAAAGCTGGTTAGGGAAACTCTGAGACCATCAGCTCCTGGGGGCAGGCACAAGGTCAACTCTGCACAGAGCATTCTCAGCCATTAAAACAAAGAGGACCAGCGGGATGGTTCAGTGGGTAAAGTGCTTGCTGCAAGCCTGATGACCTGAGTTCAATGTCCAGAACCCACAGAAAGGTGGAAGGAGAGAAGCCCACAGAAGCTGCCCTCTAACTTCCACACATGCACCATGGCATGCACACACTACATCACACACATAGGAAGGAAGGAATAGGAGTGAGGAAGGAAGGAAGGAGGAAGGCTGAAGCTTGTCCAAAGTCACCCCAAGAGTCACCACCCAGACCAGGTGACTTCAAATTCCACATCCTTTACACACAAACACACACACACACACACATACACACACACACACACACACACGAACACAATAGCTGTCCTAGAATTTACTCTATAGACCAAACTGGCCTCGAATCAAACACAGGTCCTAATGTATACTAAACTTAATGAATACTAAACCTAGCCAAGTCCAAGCCTGTGCTATTTACATGACCCACCTTTACACAGCCTACTCTGATTATTTTAATTATTTAATTGTTCTTTGGGTACATGTCTCAGGTGTTACTGCTCAGGTACGTTTTGTTTGTTATTACTAGGACAAGATCCAGGGTAGCCTCAAACTTGCTGTGTAGCCGGTGATGACTTATCTCAGGATTACCTCCCTCCACCTCCTTTGTGCTGGGATTAGAGGCCTGTACTACCACACAGGTTTATGTGGCTCTGGAAATGGAACCCAGGCTCTTTGGTGTGCTAGGCAAGCACTCTACCAACTGAGCCACAGCCACAGCCCTCTGAGTTTTCTATGGCATGCTGAGAACTGTTCACTTGAGAACTATTGCCACCGTGTGTCCAAAACTAGTACTGCTAGTCCTAAAACTGATGGCCTGGTGTTAGTTAGCTCATTAGCAGGACAGCAACTGTCTTGATCCTGCTCTGGTAATGTGAAGACCATACTTGTGCTACATGCTGACACTCCTAGGTGTTGATTTTCTATGCATTTTATATCTGAGGAAACTGAGGAAGGGAATTAGGCTTCTTACTCTTTCAGTAACTTATTCAGTTTCATTTTTCTTTCTTTTCCTTTATTTTTTTCTTTTTGGATTTTTAAGTCAGGGTTTCTCTGTGTAGCCCTGGCTGTCCTAGAATTCACTCTGTAGACCAAACTGGCCTCGAACTCACAGAGATCCACCTGGTTCTGCCTCCCAAATTCTGGGATTAAAGGCATATACCACTACCCCTAGCAACTTCTTTTCAAATAGGGTCCAACTTGCTATATAACAGAATGTGACCTTTAACATTTATGAGACAGGGTCTCACTATGTAGCCCTGACTGACCTGGAACCTGACATGTAGACCAGGCTGGCTTTGAACTTACAAAGATCTGCCTGACTCTGCCACCTAAGTTCTAGAAATGGAAACATGTGCCAACCCTAGATGAAAGAATTTTGTGTGTGTGTGTGTGTGTGTGTGTGTGTGTGTGTGTGTGAGAGAGAGAGAGAGAGAGAGAGAGAGAGAGAAGATCAGAGGACAACTCTATAGAATCCATTCTGTTCTTTTCTGTTCTTCCACCTCTACATGGTTTCTCTGGATCAAACTGAGGTCATTGGGCTTTCTCAGACAGTGCAGATGGCAAGTGAGCCATCTCATTGGTCCAACCCTGAACTTTTCCTATATCTACCTCTCAGCCTTGGGATTATAGACATACAGTACCAAGCCCCATGGATACCCTGGTTGGGATCAAACTCAGAGGTGTTGGGCATTCTAGGTAAATATTCAGCCAACAGAGCCACACCCCCAGCCTCACAACTGAATTTTGGGTAGCAAACATAGGTCATCAGGATGAAGTCATGAAAAAAGAAAAGTTCTGTCCCAAGAATGAAACAGTATTAGGAAACGACAGAGCCACAGGCTGTTCTAGAAACCAGAAAGTTGGGGTTGATCTTTATTTCTAACTCCACCAGAGGCCAAAGCTCTGGAAGGAAACCCCGCCGCCCCTTGCTTTGGACAGTGAATGATCCATACCTGGATCCAGAAATGGTGTTCCTGTGGACAAGGGAGAGGTGGGCTGCATCCTGTTGCTGGTCCAGGCATCTACCAAAAGGCTTAGGGTGGAGGCGGTACTATACCAAAGGAAACCCAGGACAAGGGTGATGGTCACAATTGCCATGTAAAAGAGGTGTAGCTAATGAAGGATGATTCTTTCTCTAGAGAGGTAAAAATGAAGTCTGGGAACCCAAAAGATCTGCATAGTCGGCCGGGCACTCCCAGCACTTGGGAGGCAGAGACAGGTGGATTTCTGAGTTCCAGGCCAGCCTGGTCTACAGAGTGAGTTCCAGGACAGCCAGGGCTACACAGAGAAACCCTGTCTCGAAAAACCAAAAAAATAAAAAAATAAAGATCTGCATAGTCTTTTCAGGCATTGATTAAGCTCTACATCCTCTGGCTTGAACGATCTTGTCACCACTGAGACAGACACACAGCCATTTTCTTCCCCAACCCCACCAAAGACCTCTAGGTCTGATGCCCCTGCATGTCCAGCCCTGACTTCCCTGGGCATTGCCTGAGGATATAAGGAGTCATCCTTTTCTGCCCACAGAGGGGTTAGGAGTCACCTGGCAGGCTCCTCATTGTTTTCTGAGGTGCTGACATCAGGGAGTGTCCCCGTAAGTGGAAGTTCCAAGGTCATATTCATCTCTGCATTACCTATAGGGATGATGACATATTAGAATCCGTGCAGAGAGTTTGAATATCCAAGCTGCAGTGGGAGACAGTGGGAGACAGTGGGAGACAGTGGGAGGTAGTGAATGGAGAGTCTTCTGTAACATACAATTCCTGGCTACAGCTGACAAGACTAACAGGGTTGTGCTCTAAAATATCAAACTGGAGAGGCTGTGGCACCATGGGCACCAAAAGCAGCTTCTGCTTTTATTTCAAAGAAGCTTAAAGGCCAGCAAGATGGCTCGGCAGGGAAAGACCTTAGATGACAAATGTGATGACCTTAGTTGGATCCCTGGGACCCACAGGGTGGAAGGAGAGAACCAATTAATTAACACCCCATGGTGCATGTATCATGTACGCACATAAGCAAGCACACAGGCACGCACACATGTGAAGGGAAGAAAAGGAACTCTGGTGAATATCCCAGCCATCCATCATGATACTGGGAGGCAGTGGATCCTTAGAAACTGGAGCCCAGAGGAAGGGAGAAAGGTCATCAGGAGTATGTTCGTGAAAGAGACCCTACCTCACCTTTTCCTCTCTGTGTATCCTGGCCACAATGAGGTGAACAACTTCCATGGAGATGAGCTGCCTCAGAACCAAGCAGCTATAGACAAAAATCTTCCCAACTGAGAACTAAAAAAACCCTTTCCCCTTGTAAAGTTGCTTAGAGACAGTGTTCTTGTCACAGAGAGGGAAAGCACAGGAAGAGAAATTACATTTAAAAAATCAACTGACTTTCTGCACTGGCTGTATGAAGTTACAGGCTGGTGTGTGTGTGTGTGTGTGTGTGTGTGTGTGTGTGTGTGTTTGGGGGGGGTTGAGTTGGGATAGTCCTAGGTGTCCTGGATATCACTATGTAGCTCTAGGTGTCCTGAAACTCTAGGTAGACCAGGCTCACCTCAGTCTCACAGAGATCTACCTGCCCTTACCTCCTGAGCGCTGGGATTAAAGGCATGCATCATCAGACCAAGTAAAGTTACAGCTTTCATTTGGTTTGTGTTTTTTAATTTTTAACCTTAAAAAAAAAAATCAGTCAGGCATGGTGAGCAGGGTACACCTTTAATCAAATGGAAAAAAAAATACCCCATGGGATTGTTTGCCCACAGGCCAATCAGGTAGGAGCATTTTCAAAATCGAGGTTCTTTTTTTTTTCTTTTTCAAATAACTTTAGCTTGTTAGCTTGTACCAAGTAGACACAAAAACTAACCAAGATGCCTGAGTTACATAATGAATTCTGAGTCAGCTACTGCTATATACCAAGACTGTCTCTCTAAAAAACAAAACAACAAAAAAACAAAAACAAACAAACATAAAATGAAAAATGGAAAAAAAAAACCAAAGACAAAATAAAAAATAAAACTACCACCAACAAAGGCAGAGTAGGAATTAGCATGTCCCCTGACGGCCTTTGTGGAAAGCGTGAGGAGCACAAGCACAAAGGAAGGGCTTGAGGCCAGACTCACAGGCCATCACGGTTCAACAAAACCAGGAAGTATACAAATGTAGCGTACAAGCTCAGACTGGGAGATGGTTCCATCTGCAAGGCGCTTACTGCACAAGTCTGAGAACCCAAGTTCAATGCCAGGAGCCAAATACAAAGGCAAGCATGGTGGAGCACACTTGTAGTCCCAGTGTCTGGGAGAAGACAAGTGGAGCCTGGGGACTCATTGGTCAGTCAGCCTAGCTTAATTGCTGAGTCCTGAGTCAATGAAAGGTCCTGTCTCAAAAAACAAGGTGGATGGCTCCTACAGACTCCCAAGGTTGACCTTTGACCTCCATGAGGATCAGTATACGCACATAGATATAGATACACACACACACACGCAGAGAGGGTGTGTGTGGAGATTTATTATTCACTAGTATTTTCAAGCCCCAAGTTGCAAATACCCCAAACCTCCAAGAACCGTTTGGACAAGCCAAGCACAGTGAATCTGTATAGCACAGGCTGTTTGCTTTCTCAGAGGGGTGAAACCTCAGCTATAAAAGCCATGAAGACCGTTAGGGGCCATGGAAGCCATGGCCTGAACCCGCCTGTTCTGTCACAAGCACCCTGAGTACAGGGCAGGAACACACAGCCCATGCCCCTGGCATGCAGGGCACTCAGAAATTCTAGGAATGAAATAACCTTTTCAGGACCTTTGGCCCTTGAGCCTCAGCCTCAGGAACTGCAATCTACAGATGCTCTTCTGTTCCTCTGCATACCTAGGTCCCCTTATCAGACAACACCCCCCTGGGAGACTGCCACTGCTTCAAGTAAACAGTACCTGGATCTGGACTGGGCTCCCTTGCTTTGGAAGAGGAAGACTCTGGAACCTTGACCAACTCAGCAGTACCTTCGTGCACAAGGTTGGTGACCCCCTTTGGCAGCAAGGTCCTCACACTGTCATTGGCTGGGGACTCTAGAGTAGGTGTGGCCTGAGGAGTGGCATGGCTGGAGAAGAAACCAGACATAGGTATGATACTTCACAAACCAGGGAAGTCTAGGTTTGGGGATTAGTGTCTACGGAGAAAGTCTCCTGCCTCAGCAAGAGCCAAGTTCCTTAGACCTGGGTCTCTCATAAGCACCAGGCAGGGCTAGACACACAGCGGTGACTCAGACGACTGGTGAGCTTGGCAGAGAGGCCCCCTGGGGTTCTGCCAGCCTGGCCTCATCCCATCCATGCACCCTGTGTGTCACAGAGACAGGGTAGCCCATCCAAAGATCACCTGAAGAAGAACAGAAAGGAGGCCAGGAGTCACCTAGTAAGTGTCTTGCAGTCATCTGGATTGGAGCAATTGGGGCCAGATCCTGGGGAAGGCAGCTCACAGATAGTGTCCTTCTCTGTTGTTTCTGCAAAGGAGACAGCAATGGCTTCAGAAAAGACTGAAGAACCCAAAGTCTCAAGGAGCAGAACTGTCACCATCACATGTAGAGTTATGGATGAGGTACTAGGAGAACACAGTGGCTATCCAGAGACATAGATGTTGGCTTTTCCAGCATCTGCTCACTCTGGAATGAGGAGAATCTATCCCTTCACCTGATTGGTCAGTGATGCTCACAGATGCATACTCACATACAGAAACACATAGACACACGCTTACACAGACACACACACACAGTCAGACCCATACAATGCCCCCCAGAAATACATATAGAGAGACACACATATACAGAGACACAGAGAGACAGACAGACACAGTAACACACACACAGAAACACACAGACGTACCCACAGAGAGACACATAGACAGACACACAAGACAGGTACAAATAGACACAGACACACAAACACACACACAGATACCTGCACAGACATATACAAATAAGTACACACACAAAAACACACACAAGACACATACACACACACACACACAGAGACACACAGGCACACTTAGGCACACATAGACACAGACACACACATACAAACATACACAGAGACATATATACATAGAGACATGTGGAGAGACACAGAGACACAAGCACATTCACAAATAAATACACACAGACACACACACAGATACACACAAAGACACACACATACAGAGAGACCACCAGATACCCCTGGGTTTGCCCTCCATGTCTATCACATCCTTACTATGCCAGGCAGTCAAGTGATCATAGCAGTCTTCATTGGGCTGCATTATAAACTATCACATGTAAACAAGTCTGTCATACTAGGTAATAAACAGTTAGTGGTCAGCCAAAAACATGGACTTTCTCACACCTCATCGCTAATCTCATCACCGAGGGACTGACCCACATGAGTTGGAAGATGCCCCAACAGCTTCTGTGGAGGTGAATTACAGCAAGGTCAGCAGTGTGATGAAGTTGACAAGGCTCAGCTGAGCACCCAATCCTGACTGGAGAAGGATGTTCTCTGTGTTCTTGGGCTACTCAACTGCCATCTCTGGGTGTCAAACTCCCCACTCACAGAAAGGAGCTGATGGAATCTGCCCTGCAAACACTTGATACTTTCGGAGAAAGTTTATAATAGCTTTGAGTGGTTGATTATCTGTGAGCAGTGCAGAAACAGAAGTTACTCCCCCCCTCCCCCTTTCACAACTGGAAATCCTACATTCCCCAGAGCTGCGTTCTGGAAGAGTCCACAGGGGCTCCAGAGATGAACAGGGTCAGGTGGCTATGGCAGGGCCACTGACAGAATGTGCCATGTCACTATGCCAGTAGTGCACAACTTTAAGCCTAGCACTTGAGAGGTGGGCAGATCTGTGAGTTTCAGGCCAGCCTGGTCTACATAGTGAGTTTCAGGCCAGCCAAAAGCTACATAAAGAAACCTTGTCTCAATAAAAGGAGGGGCATGTGTCTTGAGAGATGTCTCAGTAGTAGTTAAGATCACTGGATATTTTTTAGAGGATGGGGTTCAATCCCCAGTTCCTCTCGGTGGCTCACAACCTTCTATAATTCCAATTCTAAGAAATCTGATACCCTCTTCTTGTCTCTCTGGCCACTAGTCATGCATGTGTCACACAGACATACATGTAGGCAAAAACACTCATGTACATAAAAGAAATAAAAATAAAAATAAATCTGGGTGTAGTGGCACATGCCTGTAATCCCAGCAGTCAGGAGTCTGAGGAAGCAAGATCAGAAGTTCAAATCCAACCTGGGCAACAGAGTGACTCTGTCTCAAACGATAAATAAAGAAATAAAAAAATTAATTTTAATAATATCTTAATTTGTGCTAGGAGTATTGCTTACTGGTATAGTACTTGCATGTCATGTAAGGCCTTGGGTTCAGTACCCAATAAACACACCACACACACACACACACACACACATAAAACACACACAAAATACATACTCTTGTGTCCATGCATGCATGCACACATACATGCACAGCTCACACATATAATACCCACACTTGGGAGGATGAGGCAGGGGGATTACTGTGGTTTTGAAGCCAGTCTTGCCACGAGACATCCTGGGCTACAAAATGAGAGCAGATCTCAAAAAGTCATAATCTAACAACATAATGACCTGTGTCAGTTGGTAATCAATGTAAATATAACAAGATACATTGTATTCTCGCATACATGTTGGGTCTTTGAAACTCACTGAGCATTATACACAGAATATCTTAACTTAGACCTGCCACATTTTAAGCATTATTATTATTATTATTATTATTATTATTATTTTGGACAATGGCAGGGCTTCAGAGACAAGCCTCTGTTGCCCCCATGTGGCAGTCTTGTGAACTCCACCGAGACACCCTAGCCCTGTTAGCTGGAAGGCTGATGATCTATCTGTCTGACAGACTCAGACAAAAGCCTCTAAGTTACAGCTCCTCATCATATGAGCAGGGAGAAAGAGTTAAAGGAACCGGTCCATCCACAGGTGAAAAACTTTGCTACAGCCCAGCCCTCAGATACCTTGTTGATTTCAGACAGGGGCAGTTGCCACAGTACAGAGCAGAAAAAACAGTACAGAAAAAAGCCCATGAAACCAGGAACAGGAAATGCCAAGGACACAGGTTAGAGAAAAGGCTCTGCAATTTTCACCCCTCACTATTGGTTTGTCCCACCGGGAGTTTATGTGACTGTGGTGTCCTTTTTGCATCCCCACCTCTGTGTCTCCCTTCTAGAAAGCACACCTCCCCCCAAACCCGTTTTTTGAGAACAGTGTCCCACAGTGTAATCATTCTAGTCTCCTAAACACCACGTTTAATAGCAACCAGTCATGAACCCCTTCCTTGTCAAAAAATTAGAAGCTTGGAGATGGTAAGGCCTGATGTCATGAGGTAAACTGGGAAAAACACAAAACAAAACAATTCCTCTGCTTGACTCTGTTGTCCAGTGCCTCAGTACCTCATCCTCCTATAACATGTCCAATTCTGAAGCAGGGAAGCCAGCTCTAATTTGTCAGAAAACTCCCAGGGCAGAGACTGGAGTCTCTTACTCGTGGACCACTAGAGAATCATCCCGGACCCCAAGCTTCAAATGGACCCACAGCCTCCTTTAACCAGGCCTGAGCCTCTGCCAGTAGAGTGTCTCTAACAGGACGCAGATGTGAGAGGTGAGCAGCAGAAACCCCAGATGTTGGACACATCACAGCATGGGGAGAGAAGCTTCGACCTGTTTGTTCTACAGTGGTGGGAGGATGAGGGGGCCTGTGGCAGGTACAACAGTAGCTGCTAGGGAGCTGTGGGTAGGGACACTCACCTGGGAACTTGACAATCTCGTCTTGAGAACAGTGGAGTTCGCAACGGGCGCAAGAATTGACGGCTGGCGTGCAGCAGCGCATGCCAGGCTGACACTCACAGATTCGAGGAGAGTTCCTAGAACACGGCGCCTTCTCCACAAGGTCTGAGGGACACAGGGAGGGTCATGGAAGGGAAGAGGGAAGCCAAGGGTGAGGATCCAGTGTACACAGGGACCACCAAGGATGAGGGTAGGATACCACATGACCCTCTATCAGACCGGCCAGCTAGCACTCTATGCCTCTCCTCAGTTCTCCTGATGTGTATGAAAGGGCAGTGTGAGGGTGACCTTCACCTCCAGCCTATATACCTGCACACTACTACACAGATTACAAACAAGTAAATGTGGGGCTGGGCAGGTGGCTTAGTGAATAAAAGCAGTTGTTCTTCAAGCAAAAGGTCCTGAATTCATATCCCAAGGACCCATGTGAAAAAACTGAACTGAGAGGACCCTACATGACTGTTGCAGAAATAGGAAGACTCCTAGGGCTGGCTAGCCAGCCAATGTAGCTGAATCAGTGAGCTCCGGGTTCCCTGAGAGTCTCTGTCTCCAAAAGGAAGTTGGAGAATGACTGAGGAAGACTCCTGACGTCAGCCTCTGGCCTCCACATACACATACAACATACATGTATGCATATGTATAGATAGATAGATAGATAGATAGATAGATAGATAGATATACATACATATAACATATATATCAAGCCATTCTGAAAAGACTTTACTCTGTGATTTCACAGACCTCCAGCAAAAAATGAGATTTTAACCACAGAAGCAGGAGAACCATCAGTGGTTATCACGGTGAGGAGGACGAAAAGATAAACTACAGAAGCATGAGGAGTTTCAGGAAGTACACTCTATGTTCTGGGCACAGACACACTGTCCATGGCCAAATCCCACACCATGTGTACCCTAGCTGAATCAGGGTGAAGAATAAACTTGGCAATACATATCTACACTAGCTCATCCCCTGTGTTGGAGTCTGACTATAAAATGGTCTCCTCTGAGGGAGATGACTGTGGGGTAAACCATTTTCTGTGAAAGCATAGGACTTGGGTTTCATCTCCAGAACCCATGTTTAAAAAGATGGAGGTGGGGGGTTGAAGAGATGGCTCAGTAGCTAAGAGTACTGCTTGCCTAACATGATCAAAGACCTGAGTACCATCTTTGCATAAACTAGGCATGGCAGTGCATACCCATGATCCCAGTACTCAGGACATGGAGACAGAAGTACACACACACACACACACACACACACACACAGAAGAAAATACAACCTTTAGAAAAATCTTTGCATGCAATAAAGAAAATACACATTTTTAAAAAGACACTGAAAGCTTTTTAAAAAAAATGATTATTAGGTTTCGAGAAAAATCTCAACACATCTTTCGACCTAACCATCTACAGAAAACCAAAAGAAAATGCCAGTCCCTATCAGTAAACATAAGCAATTAAAATTAGAAGAACCTATTTCAACAATTCTCCTGGAAGCATCCTATTCTTTGTTAAGAAAGAATGCATCTCTTGATGCCAAGGCACTGCTCGGACTGCTCCAGGAAGGACCTTCACATTATGAATCCTCAGATTCTTCACTATAGAAACAGGTTAAGAAAGGGATCCTTCATGAGTCATTGTGATGATGCCTGTTCTCCCTCCAGGGAGCACACTACGTCTTGCTGAAAAGTATGGATACAAAAGATGGCTGCTGATATCAATCTTCAAATCCAGAGAGGTAAACTGAGGCACCAGATCAGATCTTGATACTTCCTGCCTCTCAGATTCCCCACTGAGACACATTCCAGGGAGAGAGAATAGGTTCTCACCTGGCAAACAGGTCACGCAGGCTGTGCACTTCCCGTCTTCATTGATGTAGTAGTCAGGATCACACTGCTTCCAGCAGTGGGCAGGACCCTGTGGGCATGGCTGTGTTGGAGACAACCCTGGGAAGAGCAGCAGAGAAGTTCTAGGCTAGGTCACCTTGATAACAAGCTGGCTTTCCACCCTCCATTTCTCATACCCAAACCCCGTTCATTCATCTCTACTTTAAACCACGGTTGCATCAGCTAATGCTTGTGCTACAGACGGAGGCATGGACCTCGATGGAGGTCACTGAGAACAGACGGGCAGCCCAAGTATAGGGAAGACTCAACATTTCTGGGCTGCCACCTGACAATCTGTGACACTGGACAATTGCAACGACCTCAGTCACACTAACAATATGATCTGTTTCTCCTAGAGTGGACAAGAGTGAAGGGTCAGTGAAGACCAGCAAGCACAGGCTGAGTACTGGCTGTCACTCTCAGCAGAAGTCCTGACTCTCTGAGGGAACTGAGGGGATTATGGGGAGTTAAGACCATGAAGATACTGACTCAAGCTGACTGAAAAGCCCTGGAATCACCCAGCAATCTTCCTCCCATTCTTTGAGGACAGGAGGTGCAGGGTGATGACCGAGGCAAGGGATATATGATATCTACTGGGTTCTGTCTGCTCTGCCAGAGCCTGGCATGTCCTCCCCCGACCCCCAAATCAGATATGTTTCCCACAGTTTCACCACAGATTGAGCATGTGACCCAGGTGGGTTAATCAGAACATTTCATTTTTCCCATCATTGCCTCAGATTAGGCATGTAACTCCAACAGACCAATCAGAGTTTCTCACCATTGTGATTGGCTCGATATGGGCACGTGACCATCAGATCATCAACCAATAAGTCCCATCTCTTGAGAGTTTTCAAAATGGATGCTCTGGCTTTTACTACTGAATTTCTGGTTAAAATTGGTTAAATCTGGCTTGGTGGCGTATTCCTTTAATCATGACTGGGAGTTAAATTTCAGTATCTAAATTGCCTAAAATACTCCCAGACTCGTCAGGATGGCTGTTTCTAGCAACCATTGGTCACCTGTTGCAGGCCCTGGATCATATTTGGTGAACCCATGTTCCGCTGACTCATAAATAGAAGCTGGAGAGACACCAGGGCCTTCACCATCCCCTGAACAAGGCCTGGGGTCCAGAACGTCAAGGAAGGCGGAAGGGGGCTCAGGGTTGAACTTAGGCGAGTTTAGTAGCAGGTGATTGTGGACCATTCTCAAGTTCCTTCTCTGGGTTCTTATAGGGTTCATGAGCTACCCTGAACCATAAGTGCTGTTGGTCATTTTATGATGCAGGCAGTAGGTTTGTCACCACAGTTATGTAAGCAGAGAACTGGGAAGCGGCTGTCAGATGGTGCCAAGGCACCACCCCTCTAGGTGAGGACAGATGCAAGAAGACCTCTCGGCCTCTCAAATTCAAAGGTCTCCCAGCTTCCTCCACCAGCCCACCCACGTGCAAACATAGCTGAGCGCTGATTCGAGAGGGCAGGCAAAATGTCAGAAATTTCCCCAAAACACGGAAGAAGGGGGTTTTCTGGTTTTCCTCTGTGGCTTGTCCGGAAGCACAGGGTCAATAAAACTCCAGCAAAACGCCCCGCCCACCACGAAGGCCCAAGGTGCTCAGCCGCTTGTAGCTCTGAGCCTTAGAGGAAGTGAGAGGCGGGAGTAGCCCCTCCCAGCTGTTAAGTGGAGAAAGCCTAAGACCTAGGGGTCAGCCTCACAAGTGTCTTTCTCTCTGTGACTGGAACTGTGGCTACAGAATGTCATAGCACTGTGGCCACACGTATCTGTAGACGCTGAGAACAGAAATGCGAGGAGCCAGTCCCTTCTAGCAAAGGAAGGCTCCTAGAGGTAGTGTCTCAGAGCTGCAATAGGATTGAGATAGCAGAAAGGGACACCCAGGGGTGAAGGAGACAGGCAAAACCAAAGGACTAGAGACCTGAAAAAAACGGGAGAAGGAGCTGGGAGAAATGACCTATTTATTCCAAGAGTGATCTTGTCTGACCAGGTCAGCCCAGTCAGTAAACAGGTTCTCCAGCGCAGGAGTGAGGATTAAAAAGAAAAAAGATGATTAAACAACATCATAGCCTGACCCCAGCCAGTTCTGAGGCTGAGGGCAGGTTTTTTTTCCCCCAATTTTCTTTTAAATCATTTTAATTACATGCAAGTATTTAGGTCAGTTCTAGGTTGAGGAACTAGCAATACAATAATTCCAAATAGTCAAGGAACAAGCAAGGCAATAAGCAAAGTCCCATGATTACTCTCGTGATCACTGTTTTCAAGGGCTTGTCAGGATGACCAAAATATCTGAGCCTACTTCCTTGTCCTAGCCCAAAATCATTCATATTCATGCCTGAGGCCTACTTCTTTGTTCTAGCCTAAGATTTAAATTCCTGACTGAAATTACTTCCCTTTTTTAGCCTAAAGTTAGATTCCTGCCTGAACTTACTTTCTTGTCAAGGCCCAAAGTCAGATTCCTGCTTAAAGCCCATTTCCTTGTCCTTGGCTAAGGTCAGATTCCTGCCAAGCAGCCTCAGTCTTGCCATTGGATCGAAGGATGGGCAGGCAGAGGGAATAGATGAGGAGGGGGAATGGATGAGAGGATGGGGAAGCGGGAGGACACCACTGAGGACTGGAATTGCTCACACCCCTAATTCTAATGAAACCCTTAACTTCAATTTGGAGAGACAGAGGTTTAGGAGCTCACTACAGATAAAGGAGCCCACCAGAAGCCCTAAAACCATGGGATGGGTGGGTCTCTATGAAAAGGGGAGTACATACCCATAGGAAGGTGGTCGGGTCAGACTGTAAGCCAGAAAGAGTCCTGGACAGAAGCCTAATCAGGCCAGAACCTGGTTTCTAACTAGGGGAAAGTAATGGTCTGCAGGACCCCAAAGAAGAATAGGGAGGAGAATGAGCGGGATTGGGGAGACAAGTAGGGGGAGGGAAGGAACCCAAGAGAAGCTGGGTATAGTCGCGCAGGCCTGGTGGAAGGGGAGAAGCAAGAGGATCAGGAGTTCAAGGCCAGCCTCCGCTACACACAAAGTTCAAAGGCAGCTTAGACTACTATATGGGATTCTGTCAAGTTGTCATCAAATTGCCGGGCGGTGGTGGCACACGCCTTTAATCCCAGCACTGGGAGGCAGAGGCAGGTGGATTTCTGAGTTCAAGGCCAGCCTTGTCTACAGAGTGAGTTCCAGGACAGCCAGGACTATACAGAGAAACCCTGTCTCGAAAAAACAAACAAACAAAAAAAGTTGCCATCAACTACTCATCACAAGAACATTTAATTTTGTTCTTGTTTTATTTTTTAATATTTTATTTTTTTTTTTTTATTTTTTAGACAGGGTTTCTCTGTGTAGCCCTGGCTATCCTGGAACTCACTCTGTAGATCAGGCTGGCTTCGAACTCACAGAGATTGGCTTGGCTCTGGCTGGGATTAAAGGCTTGTGCCACCACCATCTAGCTCAAATAGTTTTCTTTACGTATATGTGTGTTTATGAGGGCATGTCCTGTGTGTGGGTGCCCTCAGAGGTGTCAGATCCCCTTGGAGCTGAAGTTCACAGGCAGTTGGGAGCTTCCTAATGAGGTTGCCGGGAACTGAACCTGGCTGGGTCCTTTGGAAGAGCAGGAGGTGCTCTTAACCACCGAGCTATCTCTCAAGCCCTGCAGAAATATTTTTGAATCATTTTTTGGGAATAGACATTATTAAATTCTTTCTCAGATACTTCATCTGGTAGCCTGTGCAAGACTGCTCCATCAGAGGACACAGGGCTAAGAGCAGCTGTCCAAGAATCTCACCTAGCTCCAGCCACATCCCCAATGACCCTGTACAGTCCTGCCTGCACCCACCTCCAGACATTGTGCCTGGGAAGCATTAATACTGGGTACATGAGCCTACTACTTCTCACCCACAGGAAACCCTCCAGACACAGTGACCTACCTCTGATGCCTTGCTGTCCTAAAAGCAGGGGGCAGCTACACCGAGCCAGTGACAGAGACTTCCTCCCACCCTTAACTGTCATAGCTAATGTTTCTTTCAAGCAGACATCTATTCCTGTAGCTCAGAGACAGCACCACAGCTGCACCTCATACCCCAGTCACTAATGACCCCCATGTGTGCTTGAGACTTTTGATCATAGCCATAGGGGGATCAAAATGGCTCATAACCCTTTTCGAATCTTTAAGCCTGAAGATTATTGTTCCAGACAGATTTCCTGAAATTCTTCTAGAACTCACACTATACTAGGGATTGGGGGCGGGGTGCATTCCAGGAAGCCAGCAGTGGTTACAGGCAAGCTCTGTTCCCCAGAAAGTTGCAGCCCAGAGCAGCCTGGGATGAACACATGTGCTAGCTCGGAGCAGACAAGAACCATAAAGGTCAGGGTGAGGTAGTATACTCCTGCAGTCCCAGCTCTATTGATGCTGAGATAGGACAGCAAGTTCATTGCTGCCCTTGAAAGAGAACCCAGATTCAAGTCCCAGCACTCATGTGGCAGCTCACAACCACCTGTTCCCAGAGGACCTGACGCCCTCTTCTAATCGATGCAAGAGCTTACATGCATGTAGTAGCATACATAAATCCAGGCAAAATACTCATTAAATGAGGGAGGAAGAAGGAAAGAAGGTCTTGCATCCTTGTGGCAGCAGCAGACCTAGCCTGGCCAGCAGGCAGCCTTGCCCTTCCCCAGACCCTGTGACATTAGAGATGGCCTTTGGAAACCTGTAGCTATGACCACGATCATGTTTTCTACCTTCTATCCAGCCCTTCTCAACCCCTGCTTTTCTCCAGTTCCCCCAACGAAAACCATCTACCTCCTGCCTTCAGGATCCCACTCACCTGAGGGGCACTGGTAGCAGCAGTCCCTGGTATAGTAGCTGAGTTCTCCAGCACAGGTGGTCTTGCGTGGTCGGTCCTGGAGGATCAGAGAAGCTGGTGAGACAAGGCCAGACCTCCAACCTTAATTCCACCCTACAGTCCCAGCTTGGTGTCCACTGACTGTCAAGGCTGAGACCTACTGTCTTAGAGATCAGAAGAAATTCCTGACTCCACATTTCCCCACAGGGTTAATGGCAGATGCAAATGGAACACCCCGGAGTGTCTGTACCCTCCTCTGCTCACAGTTTCCTCCCCCTCTCCCCACCAGTCAGTTAGCTCTCTCAGCTACCTTCAATCTATCAGCCATAACAGCAGCTAGTTCCACCAGTGTACCCCTCCAGGGGACTGACATGCCTCCCACCATGTCTCTGGGACAAAAACAGCAATACAAATATCTGGTAAAGTTTTGTATGAGCTGAAATCCTGCATACCCAGATGGAAAAGTGCCCAGATCCCAAGACACCGGCAGAATCTTGCCCACGCCCAGCATACTCAGATGCCCCCTCTGAAAACAAAACATGAAGCCACCACATTAATTGATGTCTATTATTTAATTCTGTCTCCTCTTGAGTTTGACATAGGTCAAACTGCTCAGCCTGTTCCTTTGCAACTTTCTGTTATAAAAAATGTTTTTGGGGCGAGTGGGGGTGGGAGCATTGTGGCATACACTTTACTCTCAGCACTTGGAAGGCAGAGACAGGCTGATCTTTGTGAGTCCAAGGCCTGGACAGTCAGGGCTACATCTTGAGACCCTGTCTCAAAACAAAACAAAAAAGAAAATAATGTGTTTTACTATGCAAGCATGTTTATACCACTTTACTTCTCTTGCATTCATTCCTGTAGCCAGCTTTTCTCCTCTCTCTCTCTCTCTCTCTCTCTCTCTCTCTCTCTCTCTCTCTCTCGGGGTGGGGGTGGGGTTGGGGGCGTTGCATGTGTGAATACATGTTCCTTTAAGCCAGCAAAGAACATCTGGTGTCCTGTTCTATCACCTTTCACATTATTCCCTTGAGAATGGGTCTGTCACCGAGCCTGAAGCTTGGTCAGTGTCTGGCAGGCCTCGGCCATCCGCTTTCTTCTCTCACAGCTTTGGAGAGCTACAGGCACTGGTGACTATGCCCAGCTTTTAAAGTGGGTTCTAGGGATCTGAACCCAGACTCTTATGCTTGTGTGACACATGTTTTTACCCACTGAGCTGTCTCCCCTTCCACTGCAATCAGGCTCTTTAATTTAGTATTACGTTTCAAGAATCATTCACTGTTTTGGACAGTCACTAACGACCATGGCCTTGCAATACGGCCTCTTTGGTTGTTTCAGTCTGTTAGCTATCATGCTAATACTGCTTCATTCTTTCTTGTTTTTTTTTTTTTTTTTTTTTTTTTTTT